GGTCCATACCGGTCCATACTGGTCCATACTGGTCCATACTGGTCCATACCGGTCCATACTGGTTTATACTGGTCCATACTGGTCCATACTGGTCCATACTGGTTTATACTGGTCCATACTGGTTTCCCAGGAACTTCCACGTGTGGAATGACTGCTGGATGAAGCGGCCGGACCTCCCCGACGGCTACGACGGCTGGCAGGTGGTGGACGCCACGCCGCAGGAGACCAGCAGCGGTACTGGTTTCTACTGGTTTATACTGGTTTATACTGGTTTATACTGGTTTATACTGGGAGGGGCCCCAGGGAATTTTTTGGGATTTTTTTGGAATTTTTTGGGATTTTTTTTGAATTTTTTTTGGTTTTTTTTTAATTTTTTGGTGGAAAAATGAGGGAAAATTGATGGGTTTTGATACTGGTTTCTACTGGTTTATACTGGTTTATACTGGTTTATACTGGTTTATACTGGTTTATACTGGTTTATACTGGGAGGGGCCCCAGGGAATTTTTTGGGATTTTTTTGGAATTTTTTGGGATTTTTTTTGAATTTTTTTTGGTTTTTTTTTAATTTTTTGGTGGAAAAATGAGGGAAAATTGATGGGTTTTGATACTGGTTACTGGTTTATACTGGTTTATACTGGTTTATACTGGTTTATACTGGTTTATACTGGGAGGGGCCCCAGGGAATTTTTTGGGATTTTTTTGGGAATTTTTTGGGATTTTTTTGGAATTTTTTTGGGTTTTTTTTTTAAATTTTTTTTGGGAAAAATGAGGGAAAATTGATGAGTTTTGATACTGGTTTATACTGGTTTATACTGGTTTATACTGGTTTATACTGGTTTATACTGGTTTATACTGGTTTATACTGGGAGGGGCCCCAGGGAATTTTTTGGGATTTTTTTGGGAATTTTTTGGGATTTTTTTGGAATTTTTTTGGGTTTTTTTTAAAATTTTTTGGGGGAAAAATGGGGGGAAATTGATGAGTTTTGATACTGGTTTATACTGGTTTATACTGGTCCATACTGGTCCATACTGGTCCATACTGGTCCGTACTGGTCCATACTGGTCCATACTGGTTTATACTGGTCCATACTGGTTTCCCAGGGCTGTTCTGCTGCGGTCCCTGCTCGCTCAAGGCCGTGAAGAACGGGGAGGTTTTCCTCAAGTACGACACGCCCTTCGTCTTCGCCGAGGTGGGCGTGGCCTCCGCATGCTAATGAGATGCTAATGAGACGCAAACGAGGCGCTAACAACCCCTCCCCTCAGCCCTCGCCCTGTGGCTCATTAATATGCAAATGACGCCGCTAACTTAATGCATTGTCGGTATGGTGGGCGTGGCTGCATGCAAATGAGGGGCGTGGCTATGCTAATGAGGACCGTGACAGCGCAACGCTAATAGCCATAAGGTGAGCGTTTATGCAAATGTTGGCAGCGGTATGCAAATTAGAGCGGGTGCGGCCGCAAAACGCTAATGAGGGGCGTGGCTAATGCTAATGAGTGGTGTTAATGAGGGTAATGAGGGGATTCTTTATGCAAATGAGGGAATTAATCATGCAAATGACCTAATTGGTGTGCTAAATATTCAAATTGAGTATTCACATGGCATAATTATTTAAGTATTATTTAATTTATTCAAATTAATCGCATTAATTGTTCAATTAAAGTTAATTAAGCGAGTATTGAACAAATTATGCAAATGAGCCTTGTAGCTTTGCAGTATTGAATTAATTAACTGCGCTAATTAGACCCTGCAAGTCTCACGTTGCATCCCGCAATTAATATGCAAATTAGATATCAAAGCGTGCTTATGATTGGAACACATTGTTAATAGGAACGAGCAAATTAGGTCTTTGATTATGCAAATTGCGTGATTAATTATGCAAGCGACCTGGTTGATTTTGCGGATATCCCGATTGCTTTAATTATGTAAATGACTTAATTTCTTATGCAAATGAGCAGGTGAGACAGGAGGCCTTGGGCGGTCTCATTATGCAAAGCAGATGTTAATGAGACCGATTCAGGGAGGGTATTATGCAAATTAGGAAGTGTCAGTCATTCTGCAGGCATGGGATGATTAAATATGCTAATGAGGCGGTTAATTATGCAAATGAGAAAAGAAACAGCGCTGCAGCAGCAGCAGCAGCCCCATCTGGCTAATTAGCATTTCTAATTAACAGATTAACTAATAACCCCAGTTAGGCAGCGTAATTTCTGTTCCGCACAATCACTTATGCAAATGAGCTCATTAATTATGCAAACGAGCAGGTGAACAGCGACAAGGTGCACCAGACACACAGAACCTCTTCCATTGCTTCATTAACAAAGCTGGCACTAATTACCCTAATTGATCGGTGTTATAAATTCCAGTGACAGAGGGGTGATTAGATATGCAAATGAGCTCATTAATTATGCAAACGAGCAGGTGAACAGCGACAAGGTGCACCAGACACACAGAAGCTCTGTCATTGCCTCATTAACAAAGCGGGCGCTAATTAACCTAATTGATCGGCGTTATAAATTCCAGTGACAGAGAGATAATTAGATATGCAAATGAGCTCATTAAATATGCAAACGAGCAGGTAAACGGGGACAAGGTGCACCAGACACATAGAACCTCTCCCATTGCCTCATTAACAAAGCGGGGGCTAATTAACCTAATTGATCGGTGTTATAAACTCCAGTGACAGAGAGATAATTAGATATGCAAATGAGCTCATTAATTATGCAAATGAGCAGGTGAACAGCGACAAGGTGTACTGGCAGCGCCAGACACACAGAACCTCTCCCATTGCCTCATTAACAAAGCGGGGGCTAATTACCCTAATTAATCGGCGTCATAAATTCCAGTGACGGAGGGGTGATTAGACATGCAAATGAGCTAATTAAATATGCAAATGAGAAGGAGAACAGGGACAATGTGCATCAGACACATAGAAACTCTTCCATTGCCTCATTAACAAAGCAAGAACTAATTATGCTAATTAGGGAGCATAACAAATTCCAATGGAAGAGAGGTGATAAGACATGCAAATGAGCTCATTAAATATGCAAACGAGCAGGTGAACAGCGACAAGGTGCACCAGACACACAGAACCTCTTCCATTACCTCATTAACAAAGCTGGCACTAATTACCCTAATTGAATGGCATCATAAATTCCAGTGACAGAGGGGTGATTAGACATGCAAATGAGCTCATTAATTATGCAAACGAGCAGGTGAACAGCGACAAGGTGTACTGGCAGCGCCAGCCCCACGGGGGCTTCGCCGTGGTGCACGTGGAGGAGGGGGCGATCGGCCGCAGGATCAGCACCCTGGGGGCCGGCTCTGCGGCCAGAGTGGACATCACTGACCAGTACAAACACCCCGAGGGTGAGTGGGAGTGACCACTCACTGAGTGACCCCCGAGTGACCCCTGAGTGACCCCAGAGTGACCCCTCAGTGAGTGACTGCTCAGTGAGTGACCCCTGAGTGACCCCTGAGTGACCCCTGAGTGACCCCTGAGTGACCCTGAGTGACCCCCGAGTGAGCCCCGAGTGACCGCTCAGTGAGTGTGAGTGGCCGCAGGATCAGCACCCTGGGGGCCGGCTCTGCGGCCAGAGTGGACATCACTGACCAGTACAAACACCCCGAGGGTGAGTGGGAGTGACCACTCACTGAGTGACCACTCACTGAGTGACCCCCGAGTGAGCCCCGAGTGACCGCTCAGTGAGTGTGAGTGGCCGCAGGATCAGCACCCTGGGGGCCGGCTCTGCGGCCAGAGTGGACATC